GAAGTTCCTGTCCTCCTGCTGCCAATTACCAGATCTCCTGAGAGTGCTATCAAGGAGTGACTCAAAGCACTACACAATGAGAATTATAAATATCTTAATATTATATGTGAAATACAAATACATAATTCTTTACATTTGATTGGTACTTTAAAGAGGAGAGAATGAGCACATTCACCCACACCAACCATTTGAGCCTCGTAATCACCTGTGATGTAGCTTCCTCTAAGTGGGAAACTGAGGCTCAGAACGGTTAAGTGACTGTCCCAGGGTGGCAGGATCACAAATGGAAGGGCATGAATTCATACTGTCTCCAGCGGACAGGAATGAAAAGACTCAGGCTAGGTGTGGTGGCTCATGCCTGTAATTCCCGCACTTTGGGAGGCCAAGGTGGGTGGATATCTTGAGCTCAGGAGTTCATGACCAGTATGGGCAACATGGTGAGACCCCATTTTAAAAAAATATACAGCAACTTAGCCCAGCTGCTTGGGAGGCTGAGGTGGGAGGATCACTTGAGTCTGGGGGTTGGAGGTTGTAGTGAGTCGAGATCGTGCCACGGCACTCTAGCTTGGGTGATAGAGCAACACTCCGTCTCAGAAAGAATAAAAAGACTCGGCCATGAATTCGTCAGATAGTTTTCCTTACGTAATTTTTGGACAAGGAGATCTGACCTTCACAGAAGGCTTTTCTCTTAGAAGTGGGAGAGCTGCAAGGTCACGGTGGTCCATCCAGCCCCTGCTGTCTCACCAGACACTGTCCACCTTTTATTATGTTGGATCAGTACTCCAGTGAGAAGACAGCAGGCACTTTCACCCATGCAGCCCATTCCGTCTTCATAACCACCTGTGATGGAGGCAGGGCAAGTAATTCAGCCCCCTGCGATGAGTGGGAAACTGAGATCTGCCCCCTGTCTCCTCCCCACCGAGGACCTCTGCATGCAGGCGTGAATCCCAGGAGCCTGGCTGATATTGGAGAGGCAGCGCGGGGGGGAACCAGCTGCAGGGTCTTGGAGGAAGCTGCTGTGTACACCTGCAAGGCTGTAGGTCACATCTGTCAAGCAGTGAAGGAAGGAAACTGTTCCTAAGGGATTGGAAAAATTCATTAATTAGTAGAATGAGAAACTGAGGTGAAGGAGGAGGTGGCAGGGTCCAGACAGCATGTGGACTAGTGGCCTGTCACTGTGTTTTTTGCAGGCGGGTGGCATGGGGTGTATGCCCACTTCTTATTCCAGGAGTTGGTGCCAGGAGGCCAGGTTTTCTTAACATCTTTGTTTTACAGATGTCAAACTTGAGGGCCAGAGGGGTAGGAGAGGAAGAGACTTCTTGCACCTTTTTTGGGAAAGAGCGAGAGGGAAGCTGGCAGATGAATTTGCAGTGCGTTGACCAGGGAGCTAAGAGAGGGCGGTCTGCAGCCAGCCCACACCTGGGAGGAGGCGGCAGGTTTTTCTGGGGACAGAGTGGCCGAGTCCAAGCAAGCTTAACCATCTCAACATGACATCACTGTTTCCCATCGGAACCTGAGAACTTGTTCAATACTCTGGCATTTACCATGGGACCTGGGTTTTCTTGGTCAGGTATGCATTTCTGAGTGACAGGCCTGCATCAGGTATATCTTTGGGATGTAGTGAGATGTGGAATATGGGTTTAGGGGTATCCTCTGGCAAGCACTGCTTCTATCCGGGATCTGGGAATGTGCCCCATGCAGTGTCCTAGATGGCCCATCTGTGGTCTGCTTTCAAGGGTCTTTCTTTTAGTTAGTTGGTTTTGAGACAGGATCTCACTCTGTCACCCAGGTGGGAGTGCAGTGACACAATCTCAACTCGCTGCAACCTCCACCTCCCGGATTCAAGCAATTCTCAGATTCAAGCAATTCTCGTGCCTTAGCCTCCTGAGTAGCTGGAATTACAGGTGTGCACCACCATGCCCAGCTAGTTTTTGTAGATTTAGTAGATGAGGAATTTCACCATGTTGGCCAGTCTAGTCTTAACTCCTGACCTCAGGTGATAACCCGCCTCAGCCTTCCAATGTCCTGGGATTATAGGTGTGAGCCACCACACCCTGGCACAAGGGTCTTTTGACCAACGAACTGCAAATCAAGGCTCTTTTGTTACCAGAGTTACCTTGGATTTGCCTTATCTACTTGGTTTGGAGAAATTGAGTTTGCATCAGATGGAGTCAGGCTTGATCAGTCCCTTATTTACTTCCTCCCACCATGTCCTCTAATATCCAAAAACTTTGAGGCACTATTACATGCTAGCTACATTTCCTTGGGTAAAGTACTTAATCTCTTTGAGCCTCAGTTTCTCCATTGCTTAAAAGGAATAATGAAACTTATCCCCCATAAGTTTATAGTGAGGAATAAATGAAGTTTTATAGTTCTAAATTAGTTCTACTTAGGGCATCCGTAGTACATAGTGGGTGTTCAGTATTCATTTCATTTTGTCTTTTTTTTTTTTTTTTTTTGAGACTGAGTCTCCCTCAGTCACCCAGGCTAGAGTGCAGTGGCGAGATCTCAGCTCACTGCAAGCTCCGCCTCCCGGCTTCACGCCAGTCTCCTGCTTCAGTCTCCCGAGTAGCTGGGACTATAGGCGCCCGCCGCTACGCCCGGCTAATTTTTTGTATTTTTAGTAGAAACGGGGTTTCACTGTGTTAGCCAGGATGGTCTCGATCTCCTGACCTCGTGATCCGCCCGCCTTGGCCTCCCGAAGTGCTGGGATTACAGGCGTGAGCCGCCGCGCCCGGCCTCATTTTGTCTTTTCTAATTCCTTTGGTAAATTTAGAAAAATGAAATTTTGAAAAATGTTTACTTCTCTTTTGATTTGAAATCATTAAAACATTTTAGTAAGCCTTGAGAGGGAGCTAGTGGTGTGGCATGTGTATCCCGCTGGCCAAGCACATGTGAATGAAGCCAAGAATCTAGGGGCTTTTCTGCCAGCCAGCACTGACTCACTTGCAAGGGGCCCTGCCTGGCTCGGGGGAGGCAGGGCTGAAGTACCACATTAGGGCATGTTCCGGGGAAGTAGATTCTCTGAATAACTTGGATGACTCCCTGGAGCATTTAGGACAGAAGCCACCTGGAAGATAGAGATGGTCACCCCCACGTAGCCCTGACAGTGCCCAGAAAGTCTTGTCACTTGGTAAATGTTAACAGCTATGATCCGTTCTTTAAGACCCTGGGGAGTTTTAAATTTTACCCCTCCAGACCTGAGAAGGGTAAAGGGCTGCAGATTCTGTTCTTTTAACTAGGGCCAGCGTGAGCCATCTTCGACTCAGTGCTTGCAACAGCCCTTGATTCTGCAGTGGGACCTCCTAGGACCCTTTGCCCCCTGCAGCTTTTGGACTCATATCTGTCAGATGTCACTTGTCACCTTCTAGCATCAGGGAGAACTGGATCCCTCCTGGCTCCACACTCCTAGGCTCTTTGTAAGTAGCTCCCTCTGCAAGGGAGGCTGGTAGAACTATGGATGTGATTCATATAATTTTAGAGACAAAAAGAAAGTACCCAGGAGGTCATTTATTTCAACTGCTTCATTGCATAAGTCAGGGAGTTGAGCATCAAGTCCAGCAGCTACTAACTAGTTATCTCTGTACTTGGCTTCCATTTACTAGTCCTTAGCTTGTTCCATGATTCTTCATTGCCCCTTATTTCTCACCAGAGGGACTGGTTGGCCCTAGATGCAGTGGTCTTTTTTAAATTTTCTTTTAAATTTTTTTTTTAGACAAAGTCTCGCTCTGTTGCCCAGGCTGGAGTGCAGTGGTGCGATCTCGGCTCACTGCAAGCTCTGCCTCCCGGGTTCACGCCATTCTCCTGCCTCAGCCTCCCGAGTAGCTGGGACTACAGGCGCCTGCCACCATGCCCGGCTAATTTTTTTATGTATTTTAGTAGAGACGGAGTTTCACCGTGTTAGCCAGGATGATCTCGATCTCCTGACCTCGTGATCCGCCCGTCTTGGCCTCCCAAAGTGCTGGGATTACAGGCGTGAGCCCCTGCGCCCGGCCTTCTTTTTAATTTTTTGAGACAGTCTCACTCTGTCACCTAGGCTGGAGTGCAGTGTCGCTATCTCAGCTCACTACAACCTCTTCCTCCTGAGTTCAAGCAGTTCTCCTGTCTCAGCCTCTTACAGCTGTGCACCACCACGCCCAGCTAATTTTTGTATTTTTAGTAGAGATGGGGTTTCACCATGTTGGCCAGATTGGTCTCGAACTCCTGACCTCAAATGATCTGCCCACCTTAGCCTCCCAAAGTGCTGAGATTACAGGTGTGAGCCACCGCACCTGGCCTGGGCGGAGTGAAGTCTTATGCTGGGGAGCCATCGGCATGCTCAAACCTCCTGCAATTGTAGCACACTTTGTAAAGCTGTTTCCCACAAAAGGGCAGAATTATTTGGGACTTTCATGAGACCATTCACTTGGTAGCACATACTACCTGGAAGTTTATACCTTGGAAAACCTCATGATGGTATTCCCAGGCTTGTACATAATCTACACTCAAAACATAGCTGTAGAATTGAACTAAAGCATCCTTGTGTCCCATTAAAACATATAACCTCTTTTTGAGACAGAATCTCACTCTGTCACCCAGGCTGGAGTGCAGTGGCGCAATCTCAGCTCACTGCAACCTTCACCTCCCGGGTTCAAGTGATTCTCCGACCTCAGCCTCTAAAGTAACTGGGACTACAGGTGTGTGCCACCATGCTGGCTAATTTTTTGTATTTTTAGTGGAGACAGGGTTTCACCATGGCCAGGCTGGTCTCAAAACTCCTGGCCTCAAGTGATGCTTCTGTCTGGGCCTCCCAAAGTGCTGGGATGACAGGATGCACCACCGCACCCAGCCAGGACTGATAATCTAATTCATTGTTGGGGTAGATTCACAGTTTTCTTCTGGACGCCTTAGTAAGTCCATGCTTTAAGCAGCCGCCACGTGGCATGCTTTACCTTCTGTTTCTCCTTGCCCCTCCCCTACCTGGACCCTCCTAACTTTTGGGGTTTTTTTTCTTTCCCCAGGGTCAGTTTGAAAAGGAGGATTGAGCTCACGGTGGAGTATCCATGGAGGTGTGGAGCCGTGTCACCAACCTCTAAGTGCAGAACTGGGATGTGGAGCTGGAAGTGCCTCCTCTTCTGGGCTGTGCTGGTCACAGCCACGCTCTGCACCGCTAGGCCGTCCCCGACCTTGCCTGAACAAGGTAAGGTACTGGCTGGGGGCAGCCTGGACTCCTGGGCCTGGGAAACAGGATGGGCTGGGAGAGAGGTGATATGGTTGCAGGTAATGTGGTCAACAGGGAAGGCTCCTTCCCAGGTGGAGCAAAGAACTCCCTTCCTGCAGGAGAAACTCTCAAGATACCTGGGTTGGTTCTGGTCTGGTTATAAACATAACTGACTTCATCAGAGGTTGGGGTCATGAAGGCTGGTGACATCCATTTACCTGAGGTGACATGTTTGTGGGAGTTAATTTATGCTTTTCTCTTTCTGAAGAAAGAATATCTCATTAGGACCCTAGTGTCACACTTTAACATAGGTGATGTATAAAATGCAGCTGGTGGTGCCATGGGGAGAGAATGACCTTTGAATTTGGATGTAGAACTTGGGTTGGAGTACAGGGGATGTTGTAGGAGGTGAGAGCTTGCTAAAGACCTCTGGCTTCTAGAAAATTGTTCCAGAGCCACATCTTCGCCAGGCATGGTGGGTCACACATGTAACCCTAGCACTTTGGGAGGCTAAGGCAAGAGGATCACTTGAGGCCAGGAGTTCAAGATCAGCCTAGGCAATATAGCGAGACCCCATCTGTACAAAAAAAAGAAAATTAACTGGGTGTGGTGGTGCACGCTGCTAGTCCCAGCTACTTGCTACTTAGGAGGCTGAGCTAGGAAGATCGCGTGATCCTGAGTTGAGGCTGCAGTGAGCTATGATTGCACTACCGTGTTCCAGCCTGGGTGAAAAAGAGGCACATCTTCTATAAAAGTCAGCAGTCATGGCTCCATGCCTGCATTTTCCTAGCCTTGATTGTATCTCACAGGTCCTGTCTGGGGGCCTGCCCAGTGGTTTGCTTTGGATAGGTAGTGTTTGAGGGGTTTTGAAGTGATTGAGACCCAGGAAGCATGAAGGAGCATGGAGACCTATGGCGTGTTGGAAATTCAGAGCCATCATCGGTAACACAAAGGACTTACCCGACCATTCTTGCGCTCTGTTTGAGCTGTGAAAAGGCCTCTTGGGAGATTACAGGTATAGCATGCCTGGTGGCTTTCGAGGAACTTTGAAAACTAATGTATGGGCATTTCTGCTGCCAGAGGATAGTGTGGTTTGTGACTCAGTGGCTGGTCACACAGAGAAGGTTGACACAGTGGGTGAAAGGTTGGAGGTGCACGTGACGGTGTAGCTGTGTTCAAAAGGCTGCCACTCAGCTGGCCAGGGACCTATTTGAAGGATGAGTTATGGGTGAGAATATGTGTCCCCTGGATGGAGTTGGGGGTGAACAGGGAAAGTTGTGTGAGACTTTATAGAAGGTACAGTGTCTACAGCAGGCATATTCATGTTGCTGTCAGTAACAGAACTGAAGGCAAGGTCTGAACTGGAGCACAGTGGAGACCCAAAGTGGGAGAGACTGTGTCTGCCCACAGGGAGCTTATGGTCAGGAGGGGATGGGCAAGTACAGGGATAAGTAACACAAGACGGACTGTGTTTAAACCACCCGGTGAAATTACAACCAAAGGTGATGGGAATGCAGAGGAAGAGGGGAACAGAGAGTACCTGAGATGGGCTTGAGTTCAGAAGGGGAAAATGAAGGGCCCTCCATGTTGAACAGCATGAGTGTTCAGAGGCAGCATGTATATGGTTTATGGAGAACGGTTTGCCTGGTGAGTAGATAGTTGGGAAGCAACACTTGGAAAAATTGGATTGAGTTAGCATATGGAAAGCTTAATGCCCTGCCAAGAAAACTATATTTAGGGCCGGGCGCAGTGGCTCTCGCCTGTAATCCCAGCACTTTGGGAGGCTGAGGCGGGTGGATCACAAGGTCAGGAGTTCCAGACCATCCTGCCTAACACAGTGAAACACCATCTCAAGTAAAAATATAAAAAAATTAGCTGGGCGTGGTGGCGGGCGCCTGTAGTCCCAGCCATTCGGGAGGCTGAGGCAGGAGAATGGCATGAACCTGGGAGGCGGAGCTTGCAGTGAGCCAAGATCGTGCCACTGCACTCCAGCCTGGGCAGCAGAGCGAGACTCTGTCTGAAAAAAAAAAGGAGGAGAAGAAAACTATACTTAGGCCAGGCGTGGATTTTGCTGGTAATCCCAACACTTTGGGAAGCCAAGACAGGAGGATTGCTTGAGCCAAGAAGTTTGAGACCAACCTGGGCAACATAGTGAGACCCTGTGTCTACAAAAGATAGGAAGATTAGCCAGATGTGGTGGCACATGCCTGTAGTCCCAGCTACTAGGGAGGCTGAGGTGGGAAGATCACTTGAACCTGGGAGGTGGAGGTTGCAGTAAGCCATGATCATGCCACTTCACTTCAGCCTGGGTGACAGAGTGAGACTGTCTCACAAAAAAAAAAAAATAGAAAAAGAAAAGAAAACTAGACTTAAATGAGTAGATGTTGGGAAACTTGAAAAGTTTTGAGCAAGGAATGTCACAATCGGCTTTCAGAAAGTTAATTTGGCAGCTCAGTGTGGATGGCTAGGGGGAAAGAGTGAGGTGCACCTGTGTTTGCGCCCTGCTCTGCCACTTGATAACTGCATTATTCAACAAACTACTCAAACATGGTACGCCGCAGTTTGCTCATCTGTAAAACAGGGATAAATAATAAAGGGTTAAGTGGGATAATCCAGATGAAGCACTTCCATGTAAGATGTTAGTAGTTGTTACTGCTGCCACCGCTGCTGCCAGAAGGATGAGGTTGAAGGTTGTTTTGAGTGTCTGGCTAGAGGAAGTGCAGGTACTGACCAGGATGGGGACTGGGAGATGATAAAGGAAGGAAAAAGTAGTAAAGACCCTATAGCAATAGCATCTGTGGGTTTAAGTAGGTTAGGTGTCAACTCTGGGCAACTGGAGACTAAGATGAGAGTGTAAAAGGAGGTTTGAGGGGAGTTGAGATTTAGTCGAAGTGCAGCGAGGACCTGGTTGAGGTTTGAGAATGTGAATTTATGATGGATCCTGAAGTACTTTCTTTTTTTTGCAGCCCAGAAGGGAGATGTGGGTCTCGGGCCTGGCCGCTTGTGGGCCAGCCCAACGGGATGAGTACAAGGAACTTTAGGACCAGAGTGAGGGTGCTAGTAGAGGAGGAGGGTGTCACGGAAGCTGCTGGGGCAGGGTGGAGGCTGGAACCTGGGGGCTGAAGGTCTTGATGAGCACAAAGTACTGGTCTTATGAACAGAAGAAAGGGAGGAAGAGAGGTGGATGGGGCTCTTAGGAGGCCATGTACCCAGGAAGACTGACATTAAATGACCATTTTTTAAAAATCAACTTAACTGGCAAAGGCACAGTGGCTCCCACCTATAATCCCAGTACTTTGGGAGGCAGAGGCGGGAGGATCACTTGAGCCCAGGAGTTTAAGATCAGCCTGGGCAACATAGCAAGCAAGACCTCATCTTTATAAAAAATAAAAAAAGGTAGCTGAATGTGGTGGTACATGCTAGTAGTACCAGCTCTTTGGGAGGCTGAGGCAAAAGGATCACTTGTGCCCAGGAGTTTGAGGCTATAGTGAGCTGTAATTGCCCCACTGCATTCTACCCTGAGTGACAGAGCAAGACCTTAAAAAAAGTGGGTTTTGTTTGTTTGTTTTCTTAAAGAGACAGAGTTTTGCTCTGTTACCCAGGCTGGAGTGCAGTGGCATGATCTTGGCTCACTGCAACCTCTGCCTCCTGGGTTCAAGTGATTCTCCTGCGTCAGCCTCCTAAGTAGCTGGAATTACAGGTTCTCGCCACTATGCCTGGCTAACTTTTATATTTGTAGTAGAGATGGGTTTCGCCCTGTTGGCCAGGCTGGCCTTGAACTCCTGACCTCAAATAATCCACCCACCTTGGCTTCCCAAAGTGCTGGGACTATAAGTGTGAGCCACCGTACCTGGCCAAACCAACTTAATTTAGGTATAACTTACCCACTATAAAATACAACTGTTTTAAGTGCGTAGTTTGATGTGTTTTGATAAATGTCTACACCCCGTGTAACTATTACCCCAATCAAGCGATGAAACATTTTCCTCATGCCCCTTTGCAGTCCGTCCCATATTTGTTGGGTCACCTGTATTTGGGTTAACAGTTTGGGCTATTAATAAAACTGCTGTGAACTTTTATGTGCAAGCCTGTGTGGGCACACATTTTCCTTGGACTGCCCTGGTTTTGATTTTGGCTCCACACCTTACTGACTGTTGGCTCTTGGGAAAGTTCCTCTTTGTGCCCTTTTATAAAAATATATTGATAATGAATGTGTGCTCATAAAGTCTTTGTAAATGCCATATGAGTATGTCTGCAGAGCTCATAGGATCCTGCCTGGTCCTAGGCCGTGAGCAGTCAATGGCAGTTGTGGGTCCCTTTTCTTGGGCCTGCAGGGGAGGCAGCACACGGCGAGGAGCATGTTGTTTCATGGGACACAGCAACGGAAAGCCACTGCACTTGGAGAACAAGCCCCAGGTCTCCATTTGGTGGAGTAAACCCCATCTCACTGTGAGTGTGTTGCTTTCACGTAGCCTGTCTCTCATGAGCTTTCTGACAGAACAGAGAACTGCTGTGGCCAGGACATTCTAAGGGGAGATCTGGCTTCATGCTTTGTAAGCCGTAAGGAACTTCGTAAGTGTAAAGTATATTATATAGTCTTGGGCCTGCTGATTATTAAATAATAATGCTGCTATATTTTAAAATTTATTTATTTATTTATTTATTTGAGACGGAGTCTCACTCTGTTGCCCGGCTGGAGTGCAGTGGCACATTCTCAGCTCACCGCAACCTCCACCTCCTGTGTTCAAGTGATTCTTCTGCCTCAGCCTCCCGAGTAGCTGGGATTACAGGCATGTGCCACCATGCCCAGCTAGTTTTTTTTTTGTATATTTAGTAGAGACGGGGTTTCACCATGTTGGCTAGGATGGTCTCGATCTTCTGACCTCATGATCCACCCACCTCGGCTTCCCACAGTGCTGGGATTATAGCTGTGAGCCACCATGCCTGGCCAGTGCTGCTATTGTCTTAAAAAAAATCAT